AGGATAATAAAGACACATCTGTGGACGTTGATCGTGGTGTGGTTCCAAAAAGAACGGCACGCCTGATGACTGACCGATACAAGAAAATTAGGAGCTACTGCAATCACCTAAAAAATGAACAGATTATGAATAGTTTAATCAAAGGCGCTAAGTAACAACCTAAATAGGTACTCCTACGTCAACCCGAGACTTCCGAAAGCTGGTGAACGACCTTCACTAAGGGATGAGTACGGTCATATCGTGGAACACAATATAGGGCAAGCAACACCGTTTGGTGGAACAAACTCCAAGACTCTCAAACTCCCGAATCGCGTGGAACTCATTAACGATAACGGGTACAAATGCACGATGTCCGAAGTTACTCAGCTCCTGCAGAATTTAGGTTTACAAAATGCCCCGGGGTTTAGTGAGTCCCATCTGATGGTGCTGTAACACTTGTCACTGTTATGACCCCAGTTCTTGCAAGTATTTTCATCTGATCGATTAAAACAGGCATTGTTCCATCAGCGAGGAAAATCACCAGCTCTAGCACCATTTCGATGTCTAACTGCCATGCCACCAGAAGGAAGCACGAGGGTTAGGATGCTGCCAGGTTGCCCAAGCCTAGGCGGGAGGAATCGAAACGCAGGGGGTCGGTTTCGAACCGCAGATCTACCGACCATTAAATTCGTGCCCTAACTACCGAGCCATCTAGCCTTCGAGAAAGGGAGGTATCATCAAACGGTCCTACAAGGGATATGATAAACATGCTCCTACCAATTGTCGACCATTTAACCTGACCCCAGCTATTGGGAAGGTCACAAAGAAGTGGTTAAAAAGAATACTGCAGTGGTTTATTGAAACAAACATCTTGCGACCACCGCATCAGCATGTCTAACCTATCCTGTGTTACGGACTTGCTACTAGCGCGCGAAAGCTGGGTCAGGTCAACAGATAGAGGCCACCAAATGGATATCCTGTTCAGCTAAACTTTCAGCAGAGTGCAGCACAATGCCCTTAACTGTTTCAGGCTGATGATTTTCCGCTATCCTTAATATGCTAGGTAGCTGACTTACAAAGAAGCCACCATTACAGGCTCAGGCTGCAACAGGACAGGCAACAGGACTGCCTGTTGAAATCGAAGTACCCTAAGGATCGGTAATTTGATCTACTCGGCTCAGCATTTGTGTGAATCGGACACCTCAAAGGCTGGACTAGAATTGCACAGTATTTGCTGACGACCTGAAGTTCTGGTGTTGCACCCCGACGGACAAGGATGAGCTCTTTCGGAATACTTTGGATAGAGCGGAAACTGGACGGCGAAGGTTGAAATAAAAAAGATATAAGGTAATCGTCCAGCTACCGTGCCACCCGAAGAAAGCCTGGTTGCTGGAATACTGCCAGATTGCCCAACCAGGGACAGAGGAAGTCGAGATGCCGGGTTCGGGTTCAACTCATTTGTTAGGGCGCGAGTTTACTAATCAGGAGGTCTATGGCTCGAACATAACCCCCCAAATCTTGACTGCTCCCTTCTAGGCTTGTGCGACTTAACAGTAGGTCAACCCCCGTTTTCCCTGGCATCTAGGCACTAGAGGGCTGCTGCAACGAATGACTGATTGATTGGCTGATCACTAACCTGAATAGTTTGAGGTGAGGTGACTCAAAGGTTAGAGCGCGAATTTACTGGACGAAAGGTTCGTGGTTTGAACTTAACCTCTGCATCTCGACTCCTCCTGTCTAGACTTAGACAACCTGCCAGTATCCCAGCAATCGCGCCTCCTGGTAGCGTGGCAGTTAGGCACCGAAACGGTGCTACAGCTGAACAATTTTTTAACACCTGAATCTCGAGCTCAGACTAGAGATGGACTTGCTTAAATGTCCATGGGCAGAACGCCGAGGAATACTTCGTATTCCGTAAGTGGTCGACTGGTGCCACGAGAGTCCGAGGTATGTGAACTGGTATCGTTGCGCGTGGCTATCTGGGGGCAAAATCATATTGTCGATGTAGTGGCTTAAAGTTATTGAATGTTTTGGAGGAATCGAAACGCAGGGGGTCGGTTTCGAACCGCAGATCTACCGACCATTAAATTCGTGCCCTAACTACCGAGCCATCTAGCCTTCGAGAAAGGGAGGTATCATCAAACGGTCCTACAAGGGATATGATAAACATGCTCCTACCAATTGTCGACCATTTAACCTGACCCCAGCTATTGGGAAGGTCACAAAGAAGTGGTTAAAAAGAATACTGCAGTGGTTTATTGAAACAAACATCTTGCGACCACCGCATCAGCATGTCTAACCTATCCTGTGTTACGGACTTGCTACTAGCGCGCGAAAGCTGGGTCAGGTCAACAGATAGAGGCCACCAAATGGATATCCTGTTCAGCTAAACTTTCAGCAGAGTGCAGCACAATGCCCTTAACTGTTTCAGGCTGATGATTTTCCGCTATCCTTAATATGCTAGGTAGCTGACTTACAAAGAAGCCACCATTACAGGCTCAGGCTGCAACAGGACAGGCAACAGGACTGCCTGTTGAAATCGAAGTACCCTAAGGATCGGTAATTTGATCTACTCGGCTCAGCATTTGTGTGAATCGGACACCTCAAAGGCTGGACTAGAATTGCACAGTATTTGCTGACGACCTGAAGTTCTGGTGTTGCACCCCGACGGACAAGGATGAGCTCTTTCGGAATACTTTGGATAGAGCGGAAACTGGACGGCGAAGGTTGAAATAAAAAAGATATAAGGTAATCGTCCAGCTACCGTGCCACCCGAAGAAAGCCTGGTTGCTGGAATACTGCCAGATTGCCCAACCAGGGACAGAGGAAGTCGAGATGCCGGGTTCGGGTTCAACTCATTTGTTAGGGCGCGAGTTTACTAATCAGGAGGTCTATGGCTCGAACATAACCCCCCAAATCTTGACTGCTCCCTTCTAGGCTTGTGCGACTTAACAGTAGGTCAACCCCCGTTTTCCCTGGCATCTAGGCACTAGAGGGCTGCTGCAACGAATGACTGATTGATTGGCTGATCACTAACCTGAATAGTTTGAGGTGAGGTGACTCAAAGGTTAGAGCGCGAATTTACTGGACGAAAGGTTCGTGGTTTGAACTTAACCTCTGCATCTCGACTCCTCCTGTCTAGACTTAGACAACCTGCCAGTATCCCAGCAATCGCGCCTCCTGGTAGCGTGGCAGTTAGGCACCGAAACGGTGCTACAGCTGAACAATTTTTTAACACCTGAATCTCGAGCTCAGACTAGAGATGGACTTGCTTAAATGTCCATGGGCAGAACGCCGAGGAATACTTCGTATTCCGTAAGTGGTCGACTGGTGCCACGAGAGTCCGAGGTATGTGAACTGGTATCGTTGCGCGTGGCTATCTGGGGGCAAAATCATATTGTCGATGTAGTGGCTTAAAGTTATTGAATGTTTTGGGACCTCTGACAGTCAGCTCTATTATGGACCAAAGAAGCTGTGCTGGAACATCCGGTGACGTTAATGTATCATCGTAATCGTGGTTCATCCAACTAGTTAGAGAGCAAGTGGCTTCAGTGTACGTGCCACATACAAACTTAAATAGGTTCATAGACTGGTGACGAGAACTGTTTAACCTCTGGGAAGTATATGCTACGTTGGTCGTTGCCTCAAGCTTGATTTATTTGCCCTCGAGTGCCGCCGAAAATCTTGGGGTCTTAAGAGAGAGATCTTCGGTTTATGGAACCTTTGTTAATCAGAGAAGGACGACGACTACTCGAATGCCTAGGTCCGAACTTGAAAAGCCCAGGCTTCAAAACTTATCGACGATATTTTGTGTGTATTTTAGGGCAGTGAGTTGGTAGGACGGTCTCCACGGCGGTGTTATGGCACTGACGGTCGTGGCTCTCAGGCGTTTTGCGTGACGCAAGTCTGTTTGGTAGCTTTCAGACCTGTGATTACAAGCCGGAGCTGGAGAAGATTTACCCCAGTTGCCACATTGTGTGGTCTGTTTTCAACGCAGGATAGGGCTGACGTGTACCTTTGGGTCTTATGCTTTCAATATTCTGATTTGGAACCTCCACATTGGATCCAATCGTTTCAGATTCCTAAATGCAGTAGTCAGATTCCATTTGCCGCATTTTCTAATGCGAGGGAAACGTGATATCCGAATCGGCGAAGCGTAAACTAGGTTGTTAACTAGCTTGTGACAGTGAACTGATAGATAACAATTTAGTGCGTCCACCCCCGAGGTCCACTCCCTTCACGGAAAAGGAATTTAGCATTTTTCAGGGACCGTGCACTAGGTCTTGGCTAACTGAGGGAGCCTCTACGGTTTCCAGTACGGTGGCTCTTATAAAAGGTACATTTAAAATGGATCACCATTCTAAGTAACTTTGTTGAAATTCAAAGGACACTATGTTCATTTAGTGGCTGGACACTTCGATATTTATTCTCTTTGCCCCGGACGTCAGTGCATACAGACAAAACAACAATAGTAACTTCACAGTTAATTTTTCGGCCTGAGTTACCCTAACAATGTCCGCTGAATTTGCAGTAGGCAATCGTCGGGAAAGCACGGACACTTAGGTGTACGCCGGTCCAGCTGAATTCATTTATCTGACCCGTTGGATGGTTTCTAACACGAATCAGAAGATTTCCGGGGTCCTAGTGTTCTGTATAACCTTCGAGAGCTCCAGTGAATGGGACTTTCTTGAGGAGTGGTTTTTCCAGAGGGGTATGACTTATAGGTTCATAATCCTATGTGGATGCCCTGCAACCAAAGACCAGTTCGAGTGTTAACTACATGTTTTGTTTCCGCCCTCAGCGGACAGCTTGGCCAGTTGTTCTTTCTTGAACAACTTGCTATCCTGGGATTGGCAAGTGCCGAAAAGGTGTTCGAGTCGTGCAAACATCGTTCCTTTCTCTTAGCCTTGGCGGTGGCCTATCCTTTCCTGCCGCTGAATGGCCTTTTCTGGCTTCAAAAATATATTCAACAAACAAAAGGTACCAAAATAGTTCTTATAAAACCCATCAACGGTCAATAGACATTCCGTCCAAAGAAAAAGTTTGCTCCGGATACTATTCGCTACCATCTCCACAAACAGGCAGAAGCTTCTCTATGTGCGGGTATCGATTTGCGCGAAGCTGTCAAGCAACCAGAGGATGAGGAATTAAATGATTGGATTGCTGTTCACGGTAACTGAAGTTTTCCGTATCCATTTCGTCCCCCATAGTGGTTGATTTTTACAATCGCATCAATCTTATTTATGGAACTATTTGTGATCGCTGCACTGAGCAGACCTGTCCAACCATGTCCGGTGGGAAGAAATTCGAGTATCACTGGCGTGATAATGTGCACTACAAGAAACCTACCCCTCTACCTGCTCCCCAGTATATCGATCTTCTGATGGACTGGATCGACACACAGATAAACGATACGTCCATATTTCCTACTGACGTTGGTAAGCTGAAACATTTTGGAGCACGAACGAAAATCATCATTTTTTCCAGGCGTGCCGTTCCCCAAATCCTATATACCTACCGTCAAAAAGATTTTCGGAAGGCTATTCCGAGTTTTTGTCCATGTTTACATTCATCACTTTGATCGACTTCATGAAATCGGGGCGGTTTGTGACGTTCCTTTTTTTCTAAACGCCTTTCACAGGAAGCACACGTGAATATGTGCTACAAGCATTTCTACTACTTTGTCACTTATTTCAACCTGATTGACCCCAAGGAGTTGGAGCCGCTGGTGAGTTTTACCGGAGTCAATGTTTTTTGCGTCCGTTTTACTACCTAGGTGCTATCAACTTCTTTCTTTCGAATGGCTTGAACGTGATTCAGCCACCTTTTGTTACGGTCAATTCCCCCGACGAAGTGTTTCGTCTCCTTTTGCTGGTCGTATAGGGGTTCTGGTAGACAGATAATTCAGTTATTTTCATCGCTAACAAGCAAGATAATCGTGAGGTTATAAACTCCATGGGTCTGGCAATGTTGTGGAATGTAGGTAGCTCGGGTGCGCTGCTTGATTGTTGGTCTGTTCGCCGAGCTTGGCAGTTGGATTGCAAACGTTTCATCACCAATCGGGGTGATATCGTCAGTGCACTGATGAACAGACCAACAACCAAGGAGCGCACGCGAGCTACCTATATTCCATACCCATATTCCAAATTATTGTTGGTGAAGGCTGGCTAAGCCCTACCTGATCTTCCTTGCAGATGATTGGAACGTAATGTGCAACCGATCTCATTGTTCAAGTGGGGCTAACTTTCTAGAGCAAAACATCTAGGAAGGAAAATTAGAATGTTCCGTGAAATCAATACTTCAAACCTATCCATGTGCTTGAATGGTTCTGGAACTGAAGCACACGGTCACATTTGCTGGCATTTGTCGTTCAAGCTTCAACAAACAGTGTATTGGTTTCAAATTTGTCGGAAGCCCGAAACCGGGTCAACATCGTTTGCCGGGTACATTTATATCATTCCAGACGTAATATGATAGCGGTGTGTACCACAGCCATCGAACGTTCGGTGCAACGATGTTGAAGCAAGGTGGAATGCTTGACTGTCCAGCTCTCAAAAATAGTTATCAACAGCAATCTTCAGGAAACTTCAGCCTACAGACTTCCATCGGAACACCTCGAAAAAGGCAATGGTTTCGGTGATTCTAGAATTTCCAGCTGGTGAATACAACCACCCTTGCGAGGAGCCTCCATTTGTAGGGTATTTTGAAATAAACAACCATTACAACCCAGTCCCCACAAAGTGCATTTTGAGAAATCTACCTTACACTGCATGTCACAAATAGATAAAAACACCTTTCCAGGACAGAACTCTTTGTCGAACTCCTTTGTCGTTTGAGATGAGTTCGATGATGGAAGTAAGCTGATCGTATCAGTTGAACATTCTTCTGGCATCGTTGACTCAGAAAGCCAAGGTACATCTTCATAGAGCAGTATTTACAATATGCTGGAGTGTTCTTTTCATCGGTTTGCAACATGATTCCTCTTTCTTAGTGGTTCTCAACCCGCAGCGCTCCAATCGATTTTCTTTTAAGTGGTATACAACTTCTACCGAAATCATATTTCTTCGATATAACTACTCGTCCATTCATGCACCTCATCATACTGAAACGATCATCGTGCTAAAAAGGCAACTCTGGTAAAGAGGAGATATTAATGCTGGAGAGACTTTCTGGCCTTTCTTGGATACCGTCGGGTTTTTAAGTGGACCGCACGTAGTCCAGCAATAAATTCATCGAAAAATTATGGGAAATGATAAAAACATCCATAGAGGGGTCCTCTGATCAACTAATTAGACTTCCAACGATGCGTGCCATGAAACTGGAGAAAAATTTATGTCGATCTCTTCCTCTACACTACTCTTTTCTCCGAGGAAACACCGGAAATCCCAGAGCGTTCCCCTGTGGAGTTGTCCCATAGGTACGTAGTGTTCGAACTCAAGTGATGGGTCTACATTCATACACTTATGTTTCCCAATAATTTCAGTGAGGATGGACTGAAATTTTCTGTTTCTTGTATATCTGTGTTTCATACATATTGGGACATGGTGAACCCGTAAAATGGTCGTTCGGCTCTGTAACTTTGGTTGTTCTATATCTTGCTAAATTCGCCTGAGAACCACTAAACCACTGCGAAAACGACGTTAATCATTTGGAAGTCTTTCAGCGCTTCGCCCTCGTCGGTGAATCGATTCCCGCTCAGCGTCAACATCAATTTAGGATTTGCTCAAAGGAAGAACAATTCTTTCTTTTCAGAAGTCGTCACTTGGAGAAACAGCCACGTGATATGATCTTCGTGATAGGACGATGAGTGTTGCTCCTCCTGCTTAGCTGAGGGCTAATCATACTGCTGATCAGCCGATGGTAGCTAAATGGTTAAGTTTCCCAACTGCTAGTCGCGGTTTTGAGGTTACCTGGAGTTTTGTAATATACCTACTTCTGGTGATTCCCAATAATGTTGAGACAGCTCAACAGCGCTTTTCGACTTTTAAGCAACGCGTCCTAAATAGGGGGCGGCTGCTTCCTACTGTGAAAACCTTCCGCATCTGCGCTTCCGCAATCCGTCAGCGCACTCTGTTATTGTTATTGATTATCCGACGTTTGAGGGGTCTCTGTGCGCAATCTCGGTCGCCAACTACTGACCTTTATGATGTTCACTCTCTCTTTGGCCGAGCCAGTTGGCTTGAGTAGATAGTCGTGTAGGCTGAGAGCACAGTTTGTTCCACTTATGTTTCACCCACTCTGCCGTCAGTGGGAGTTCGCTTCCAGCAGCTTTCCGGCCAAATTAGCTCGCTTCTGATGAGCTACGGGAACTGTGAAACTCGCTGAGCTAATGAATTGAATAAATCTACATTGACCTACGTAAGCCTGAGGGAAAGCAAACTGACAAGCAAGAGAGCACAAGGTTGCGTGTTGTGGAAGCAAGGACAGTCTGATGGAGGCTTCCCACCGCCAGTTGATGGTCACGTTACCCAGCTAATCCCATTACTAGTTTACTCTTGCTGACCTCTAAATAACTTGCTTTGAGCGTCTGCTCACAATTCATTCCGAATTGAAAAGTGTCCTTTCGACCCCGAAAATTGAGTTGGCTCATAATTATTTCGTGCGCAGTAGCAGAGGTGGCACTTGTTGATTTCTTAGGAGAAGGATGTATCGAATTCATGGCTTAGTGAAATTTTCACCGTTTAGGACTTTTTTCAAGTAGAGCAGTTGGCTTAGAGCGGTGTCTTATTTAGATACATGCCTAGCTGCAGCGTAGCTCCATCTGCCCTCCCCTCATTATCGTCAACCGCAGTATTACCTTGATGCTTAAATGACATACAGCGGTGGACTACGATTTTACTACGGTTCAGGTGGAACAATCTTCTGTCCACGCCATAGCATTCATTTCCGAGTGTCAGTCCCAAACCTGTCGTATCCAATGTCTACCCTGGATAGAGTATACCCAGTCGGGTGAACAGTAAGCGAGTCCAAGGCGAGATGGACCGAGTGGTTAGAGCGCGAATTTACTGACCGGAAGGTCCGTGGTTCGAACCCGACCTCTGCCTCTCGACTTCCCCTGTCTAGACTTGGGCTACCTGGCAGTATCTCAACCCTCGTGCCTCCTTCGAGTGGCATGGCAGCTAAACACCGAAAGGGTGCTGCAGCTGAACGATTAGGCGAGTCCGCACACTGACGAATCAGAACTCCTAGTGATTTATCGGATCGAACCCCCTTTTGTTTGCATTTGTGTCACAGAAGAATCCGATCGAGTAAATCAACCGTTGGATCCGTTTTGCATACAGTACTTCTGCCACATGATGTTGATCGATTCGAGAAACACCTTATGGAAACAATCATTGTTGTTTTTGTTACGCCTGAGCACAATTCGACCTTACGTGTGGTTGAAAATTTCTGTATCTGCGTCGATGCTCGTCCGGATGTGATGCACCCTATTGAGAACCCGATCTGGTTATCATAAGCACCTGCAGAATATCAATGGTATTCGAACTGTTGCCCATGCACTTTCGAGAATGCATACGACGTTGACTCAGCATCTTCCTTATTGTCCCTTTCAAAGAACCTAGCGAATTCGGTCACAAGTAAAATCTGCCTCTGGCGACTGATGTACACAGTCACACCGTTGTGCTAGAACTTGGCTCACTACAGTTTCTGGTAGCATGGCTATGCTTAGAACCAACATTTTCGGTCCTTCTTTGGTGGTAGTATTCTTCTGCAGGAGGACGGCGAGTTTTGTAGATTGTCGTTGAAACGTTTGTGTGCAATCACACACGGCCTCAGGTTAAACGAGGTGAGTTCATACCACCTAGACATGCAGTCACTGAACAAGCCACCTGCAATCCATGGAGAGACTCGAAGTTGCGGAACGTTTTACGTATCTTGGAGGTTGTATTAGTTCCGATTGTAATGTTACAGATAAACCTGTGAGGCTCGGCTCGTGTTCGCTAATTTGAGATACCTATGGCGTCAAATCTCAAGAAGCATGTGTATCCGGTTAGTGTATGGTCTGTTTTGTTGTAAGACTGTGAGACTTGTCTGTTCGAGCATCGGAACTGAGACGCATTCAGGTCTTTGACAACCGTTGTTTCATAACCGTAGCTCGTGTGGGTTGGTGTCGGCGAATCACTCAGAAAGAATAAAGATATAGTAGGTAGTGTATAGCTACCATAGCCTCAACTAAACAGCTTCATATTTCCGAACACACCAAATACCTGAGTTCGTTTGTCGGTCTTTCGTTCATTATGCTTCATTCTACCTTGTGATTTCATCTTCGTGTTACTGAAAAATGAAGAAAATCAGCGCATCCGACCGTCCTGCTATATTGTTTGTCTTTGCTTTCTGTATGGCGGTCACGTCTGCCCCTTACTCCATGACTCAGTCAGATTCCCGGTATGCATAGCCTCAGCCGCTGTTCGTCCGTTCGCTGTCACTGATGACTTTACTGCTGTCCGTATTTTCCCTTCGCATGACCTAATACTTGACGAACGCCTCAATACCACGTATAATTCACGAGATTGTTGTCCAGTCTTTTCCAAAACTTACCAACACATTCTCACCGATTTCAGAAAATTAAAGCGTTTTCCCACAATTCACTGTGGCTGAAGCAGCGTCAGTAAGGATAATTCAGCGCTATTTAACCTTTTCCCCTCGGTCGCTCTGTTTTTTTTTATTCCTGGTAACCATTTCATGTTGCATGTCGATTGGGTGCGACGTGGTAAAGGTTCGTAAACA